GTGACATATATTTTTTTCCCTATTATTGACTTTAAAACACACTTATCTAGTTCCTGGAGTTAGTCTAAATTTAAATATTTAAAGAATTTAATTATTTTAAAGTGTTTATGAAATGAAAATATTTTATTAATAATTTAAGAAAATTCACAAATGATTTACAAACTAATAAAAGAATTGATGGATTATCTGTCTAATTGTATTTTTTATTATAAAACATCAATTACGTATGCTAATGTTCATGCAATTTTGCTAGCCACTATACATATTTAAAACAAACTCCCAAATTCTTATCAGCTAATACTTTATATTCTAAAGAAAAGCTTCCATGTATTTTTCAAAAACACTATGCTGGTGTTTATTAGAAGAGATAATTTCTCTGAAGTGCTTTAACCCTTCTATGAAATACAGCCTATATCCCTGTACCAGCAATTAATGAGTATGCTACTTGAGGAAAACACATTGACTATGTAAATTGTTAAATTTACTCTATATGACTTTCTGAGTCAGACCATTGGAAAACACTTCTACAAACATCAGAACCTTCCTCTTACAGACCTTTTCCCAGTCCAAGGACACTGGCTAGCTCTGAAGTTCAATCACTTTTTTCCACTAGTATCCTTCATTCCCTCTAGGCATGGAGAATTTGGAAGATTCCCTATTCCAAGCCCACTGGCCAGCCTTCTTGTTTTCCTGAGTCCCCAATCTTCTGAAGGTGTTTGATGTCCCAGACACCTTCAGAAAGCCTGTGTTGTACTGTAATATTTTATGAACAAGGAAAGAAAAATCCTAAATATTGGATTTTACATCTCAACTGAAACAGTCCATGTCAAAGAAACTACCTATGCAATAAACATATATATAAAATTTTTCTCCATACATCTGTTTAAGGAATAGGTTTCCCTTGAATGTTTAGCAAATAAATAAATAATAAATAAAACAATTATTATAAGGTCACAAGTGGCATGAAATTTGAATTTACTTTCCTGCAGCATTAAAAATATACCTTATTTGCTTATACTTTAATAAGTTACAGAGTGTGTCCATAGAATGTGTTACTACATGATCAAATCACACTGATCAGTGTAATATAATACATGGAAAATATATAGTTCACAAATATGGATTAATGACCATGAGGGTGTCACAAAATATTTCATATGTTAATGTTAAATGATTAAACTATACTTGTAAGCTGGTCATTGTAAGATTCTCTGAACACATGGTAATGAAACATTTAATTATTTTATAACTGCCAGAAACATTCTTTTAAATCGTTTGATTAAAAAAATGACTAGTGAATATTTTTTATGAAAAAAATTATTCAAGATAGAAAGAGACCTCTGTGCCTGGTTCCAGCCCAGAGGAATTTTTAACTACAAAGACTTATTTAAATTACGAAGGCCTTTTTCACTTTTGAGTTTCTCAAAGTGTTTCATAATAATATAAACTAGAAATATAAGCTGGAAAGTAGAGGAGAATGCTAATGCTAATGCTAATGCTAAATTATGAAGGGCTTTTTCACTTTTGAGTTTCTCAAAGTGTTTCATAATAATATAAACTAGAAGTATAAGCTGGAAAGTAGAGGAGAATGCTAATGGAAAGCTTGAGTGTTATAAAATAAACTTGATATATGTTTGGCTTTTACTTCTCCCCCCATCAAAAACAAACTTACTTTAAAAAATGTATTTGTGTTTAGTTGTTTATTTCATCTTTTTTATAACGTGTTCAAACCTGATAGCTTATGCTTTAAAATTTTACCCATGGAGCATCACTTGTGAATTATAACACAGAGGAATTTTTATTTTGCTCAAAAGTATCACTCTGTGATACACCTTGCAAATAGCTGTCATATAACTATACTTTTTCTGTTTTTCTCTCACCAGCAGGTACTCAGTAAACACTTGTTGAATGAATGAATAAATCTCAATGAAGTGCCTTAACTTCTCTTGCCAATTATAGAACTTCCACTTTAACCTCTCACCTTTAAACAGCTCCATGTCAAACAAACAAGTCTAATTTGCTATGGAAGGAACCATCAATTTTACTCAGATTGAAAGGAAATAAACAGGTTGCAATACTGGAGAATAGGAAGAGAAGATCCCAGAATCTCAGATAACCTACAATCTATATGTATCCTTAAATTCCTACCACTTGAAAAGGTAAAATAAGAGAAATCTTATAAGCATGAGTGCTTGGATAATAAAGAATTCATTAAAACTCTGACTCTAATCCAACTAATATCTTCAATTTTACATGGATAGAAAAAGGGGGTAACATTTAGATAACATTACATTGTTTAAAAGTACAACTCTGTGACCCAAACTGATCACCTAACTTCAATAAACTAAATTCGGCCCCTTATTTCTATAGATAAGGCTCAGAGATAGCATGTTCTTTGTTTTTCTAAAATTATAAGCTTTAAATTGTTTTAAATTAAACCAATGAAACATTTTATTCTTTTTGATAAATTATTTAGCTGTTTTAAAATACTTTTTCTATTCTTTCAATTTATAACATACCATTATAAAACCATTTTTTTCCTACTATACCTGGGTGACCATAATTAATTATTCCAGGCAAAAATCCTCCTATCTGTGCATTGATTCTTTTTTTTTTTTTTTTTTTTTGCGGTACGCAGGCCTCTCACTGTTGTGGCCTCTCCCGCTGCGGAGCACAGGCTCCGGACGCGCAGGCTCAGCGGCCATGGCTCACGGGCCCAGCCGCTCCGCATCATGTGGGACCTTCGCGGACCGGAGCATGAACCTGTATCCCCTGCATCGGCAGGCAGACTCTCAACCGCTGCGCCACCAAGGGAAGCCCTGTGCATTGATTCTTTGTCAACCTCACTGTCATTCCTTTTTCCACATTACTGGTTTATTTTGCTTCTGGGTTTTTTTAGTTTCAGAAAGACAAAATACACATTGGTGAACAAATGTATCTTTCCATAGACTATTACCACTTAAAAAAAACAAAATAATTCAATAAAAGATGGTTCTTCGTGTTTACATCCCAGTTCCTTACTCTTTCTCAGTACTGCAAAATAAATGCTAAATGAAATCCTTAATTTGGAATTTCAGTTTAAACACTCACAAATTGCACAAAGTCAGTGTTTTACTTAAAGTAAGTCACTTTTTCCATTTTTTGTTTCTGCCCTAACAAACGAGATATAGTTAATTTTAAATGTAAAACGTTGTGCACTATGCAAATCATGTCTGTGTGTCTAAGAAAATAACAAACTTAATGAGGAATGTCAAAAAAAATCAGAACCCATTAGTTTAAAGATACATAGGAGCAGCCAAAGATGACAAACACGCATAAAATTCAAAACAGTGGGAAAAGGGAATAGGCACTGAAACACATAAATCAGTGTTTTGAATTCTTTTTCTCTGTGGGTATAATTGTACCTTAGTTTCTTATAATGATTTATTGAGGTAAATATTCTGTATGGTTTAACAGCTACAGCTTCAAAGTGTCAGGCACAGGCTCTCCTTTATTCATGAGGCAGCTGAGTATTGGGATGTGAATTCACTTCTGTATTCTGGGACTTGGCAAAGTTTGTTTTTAAGGTCCTTATAAAGAATTCATGTTGATGCAGTCTATTCAAATGTGAAAAACACTGTGCTATAATGAGTGAAATAGAAAATCTTTACAGTAATTCTGGAGAAAAAAGTAAATAAATTGAAATAAGCCACACAGAATTACTTTCAGCAAAGTAAAAAACGCCCCTGAGTTCATTTCAACCATTTTTTCAGGTTTAGGGATGTCTATAAACCCCATCATTGGATGGGCTACTAACCTGGATACTAAATCTAATATCATACAAAAAGAAAATGGTCAGAGAGAAATACATTTAAGTCTCAGTTTGTAATATTCACCTAAGGAAGTCTTGAGGGTTGATTTTCAATTTGCACATGCTATTGCTCTGGGATTAAGGTCTAAACAACAGAAACCAGTAATAACAGTTGCACAACAGATTATTAAAGTTACCATATAGCAACTTTATAGTTTGGAGGGGGAAATGAATAATTTACCAAATATATTTCTTTTGAAAGCATCATGCCAAAAGAAGTTACACATGGATATTTAAGGCACAGAGCCCTATCTTGGAACTCACTGATCTTATGCTTGTCTATGCCAAGATTTTGGCAGGAAATTCAGATTTTTGCCAAGAAATACATGTGCCTTAGATGTATAAGTTCAGCGTGCAGTGGAAATTCAACCTTCCTGGACAGTGGTTCTCTGGTACATGCATACTCCTACCCAAAGTGGCTTTATGATTCCCCACAAGATTGTTTCCCAGTTTAGGGGTTTAGATGTTAACTAAAAGAAAATTTTAAAAAACTTTTTTTTGTAATGAGATTCTCTCATTTCCAGTTAATATAAACTAGGCTTTCAAATGTTGTTCAATTGAGAGAGCATTTCACATTATTCGAGAGAGATGACACTAAAAAGTGGCTTTTCTTTTTCACAATTTTTCCTTTAAAATTAAGAATTACCTAAAAATTCTGCCTGCTAAAAGCCACTCATTAAATTATAAACTTTTTAGTTATCCTCACAGAGTCTAACATAGCCATGCCTGGGGTAGATGATCAGTAAATAAGGACTTAAATCAGATAGTAGCTTATTAGTTTAAAATGGCTCTAAAAAAGTGTTACTTTTCAAATGACATCGTTTTTTTCCCAGAATAACTTTTTCACCCAAAAACACACTAAATAAATATACCATAAAACGTGATATTTTGATATTACACTTTCAGGCAAAAACACTCACTAATTTACCGAACTTAACAATTTCTAGTCAGACAATATCATCTGGAAAATTCTGCATTTTGTACCATGACCCAAAATGTTCTGCCTTGCTAATGAACAATGAAGATGTAGCATCTTGTAAAACTCTAAAAGTGTGCCATATGTTCATATTAAATTCATGTGAAGACAAGATAATTATGAGCCCCTAAAAGGCTAAAAAGTTGATGGGGAAATGGTACAGAAAGAACATACCTTCCAAAGAATGAATACCTCCTCTTCCACCAGCCACCATCCATTATCCATTCTTCTTCTCCTCCTTCAACAAATACAATAAAATTTTATTATTTTATAGTTTATGTGTAATCTACATTTATTTGCTTTCAAATGTTATCTATCATTTATACAAACTTGCTTTCATTGTTCCTCAAATAATATATTTTTCTATCTGTAAAGAGCCTGGGTATCTTGGGTTGGGATAATACATATCATAATTTTTACCATTAAAATTAATGGAAATATTTTTTATTTTATGGGTTTTCACTAAACAGCAGAATTTTCAGAAACAAATTAACATCTTTAAGCAAGGGATAGGTATACTGTATTTAAATTTTCAAAAGGCATCACACACCTAGAGAAGAAAGAAATTAGTATCAACTGAGCATCCCAGATTTATCAGGCATAACTCCAGGTAAAGACATGTTAGTTCATCATGTACTTTACAAGAGCTGTGTGAGAGAAGTATTGTTATTCCCCTTTCCGAAGAAAATTGAGACTCTGTAATATGAAATGAAGTGTTCAAGTTCACACAGATAGAAAGTAGCAGGGCCAGAATTCAAATCAAATGTTGCCAAATCCAGTGGTCATTTCTCTGTGCTCATCTTACTTGCATTTCTCATCAGCATTCAACACAATCAACACCTCCTTCCTTCTTGAAACACTGACCTCTTCACCTATGAATACCATACTCTCCTGGTTTATTTCATCCTCGCTAGCCACTACCTCTTAGTCTCCACTGTTGAATCTACCTCTTCTACCTGACTTGTAAGTTCTAGAGTTCCTCAGACCCAGGCCAAAGTCCCCTGAGACTTGTCTCTTTTCTTGGAATAGTACACCCATTCCCATGGATTTAAATACTATCCTTATGCTGATGACTTCCACATATGTATCTCTAGCCCTGACTTATATGAATTTCATATTTGAATATTTAATTACCTACTCTGTTTCTTGACATCATCACCTAAACATGTCAAAGACACTGAAAACTTATTGTGTCCAACAAAGAAATCGAAAAAGAAATCATGATACCTACTCACCCAAATCAGTTCATCTTCCCCCATCTGAGTAAAGAGAAATTCTGTCTACCAATTGTGTTCAAGTCAGAAACTTAAGAATCATCTTTTATTCCTTCCTTTCCATCATCCCCAATGTCCAATTCATCAGAAAGTTCTGCTGCTTCTAATTCTAAAATATATCTTAAATTTTTCTACATCTCTCTATCTCCACCATACCACCTTAACTCAGGTCCTCATTATTTCTCAACTGGACTGTGCAAAAGCTTCACTTCTACTCAAACCTCCTTTAATCCATTCTTTATATTGTAATAAGAGTTAGTTTCTTAAAACATCAAATCAATCACTCTTCTGCTAAAATCCCTGCAAAGGCTTACCATGGCACTTAGGATAAAATCCAAACTCCATAGCATGATCTACAAAACCCTGCCTATCCTTCCAACCTCATCTTATGCCATTCTCCTATCTTTTCACTACACTCTAATTCACAATGCTCTTCTTTCAGCACCCAGAACACACTAGGTTCTTCCCAGCCTCAAGGCCTTTTCAGATGCTGTTCCCTCTACCTAAAACACTTCCCTATTAATTCTAGCTCCTTTTCCTCCTTAGTCACAACCTCAAAGAAACAGTCCCAAACCACACTGTCAAGAATCCCTTGTTTGTTTCCTTATGGTACTTATTAAATTTTGTAATTGTTTTATGTACTTGTCTTTTTGTTGTCTACCAGAACAGAACATAAGCTCTATAAAGGTAGAGACTAATTAGTTGATTGATTTATATTGTTTATTAGTATTTCCAGTGCCTGGCACAATATAGCTCTCAATAAATACTTGCTGAATGAATGAAAACCAAATATGCCTGATTCTAAAACCAATATTCTTTTCACTATATCATGCTGCCACCTTAATGGATCTTAGAAATTATCTAGTCCAAACTTCTCTTTTTACACAAGTAAAAACTGAGATCCAGAAAGATAATTTATTTACCCAAGATCACACCATAATAAGTGACAGAACCACAATAACTCCAGGCTTTCTTACTTCTGATTCAGGCTTTTTCTTCTAGACCACATTGCTTTATGCTGATAGCCCCATCCAAAAATATGACTAAGAAGTTTTCCACAAAGTGGCCAAAAATATCACTAAAAACTTTTGCAACCATTTACAAAATCAGATAATACAAGAAAGGAACAGATATACATCTATATATTTGTACATACACATACGTATATGAAATAGTGGAACACAAAGCATTGATTGTCAAAATCTTTTACATAATTGTTTTTGTTTTTAAAGAAAGTTTTGAAAATATAGACAAATGGTTCTCTATTTTACATTACATATATCATTTACTTCACAATATAAACAAAAAGTTTTATTTCATATGGATAATACATCTAGAATAAACTTTCTTAGGGAATCATACTTTGTCCCTAAAAATTTACTGTAAGTTTTCCCAATAGCCAGTAACTCTCTAAAATTCATGCAAAACATAAAATTCATGTAATTTTGAAACTAAACAAGAAACTAAGCAAAATATCCACAGTTAGTAATAACCACAGGTAAAAGAAGAAACAATCAAACCCAGGAATCCTATACTGCCTACTTCTGGCATCTAATTTCTGGTTTGTAAAGCATTTAGCCATAAGTCTACCTACTCAGTTCATGAATCAATGCAGTCGACACTGTCACAACTACATACTACCTCCAGCTCCTTCCACTCCTCCAGAATCCAAATCAAATAGCTACTAAACCATCTCAAGCTGCAATTGTCACCTGGTGACTAATGGAGAAAACTTTGATCCAACTTTTCTCACCAACAACTTTTACTTCCCTACTAAACACAGAGTATCAATACTCATTATTCTGTCTACTTGTGTATATATATTTAAATTTCCATGATAAAAATTTAGAAAAATTAAGCTCTATCATTAACCATTTAGTCCTTAAAAACAGCTTTGTCATCATCTACCTCCTTCCTCATCTTCTAAAGAATTCTACATAATTTTTCAAAAGTATTAAAAACTATAAAATACAAATCTTTTACTTTTAGCATATAATAGTATTTATTACTGCAAATGATAAATATTTCAGCTATATTACAGTTCAGATAGATTTATGTAGGCTATCCTAGTGAACATTATTTATAGCATTGTTCTCAAAAACAAAAAATCTGCTTCTATGGAAATTTTGTTTGAGTTCCAACTTCCCTAAAGTTACTATGCTAAACTTTCAAAGTTTGTTTTAGTCCATTTGGACTGCTATAACAAAAATACCATAGACTCGGTGACTTAAAAAACAAACATTTATTTCTACCAGTTCTGGAGGTTGGGAAGTCCAAGATCAAGGCCCCGGCAGATTGGTGTCTGGTGAGAACCCACTTCCTAGTTCATAGATGGCTGTATTTTTGCTGTGTCCTCACATGGTGGAAGGGTCAAGGGAGCTCTGCCCTCATAACCTAATCATCTCCCAAAGGCCCTACCTCCAAATACCATCACATTGGGGATTAGGTTTCAGCATATGAATTTGGGGGGACATAAACATTCAGTTTACAGCAAAGTCATTTTCATATAGTCAGTCATGTCTATTGTTTTTCCCTCATTAAAATTTCAGTTATTATATAACCTTTGTTATTTACCTACCAATTGCTCTGAATGTTGTGTCTCTTAGTTTTTTTTTTTTTTTGGCTGCGTTGGGTCTTTGTTGCTGCACTTGGGCTTTCTCTAGTTGCTGCGAGTGGGGGCTACTCTTCGTTGCAGTGCGCGGGTTTCTCATTGCAGTGGCTTCTCTTGTTGCGGAGCACTGGCTCTACGCACGTGGGCTTCAGTAGTTGCAGTGCACAGGCTCAGTAGTTGTGGCGCATGGGCTTAGTTGCTCCACAGCATGTGGGATCTTCCCGGACCAGGGCTCCAACCCATGTCCCCTGCATTGGCAGGTGAATTCTTAACCACTGTGCCACCAGGGAAGTGCCTGTGTCTCTTAATTTTCATTAGGTCTTTTTAGTCCACCAAATGTCTCTCTTGCTGCTGCTCATTAGTATGCAAATTACTTCAGAATATACTGGACTCCTATAGGTTCATGGTTCTGATTTAAAAGTTGTCATTTAAACTCTGGCAAAACAGTCCTGTTGAAAAAGTTTCAAAAAATAAATTTCAGTGGTAGAGTTCAGAGCTCTTTCTTATTCACTTTAGAAACTCAAAATCCTATATCTCAAACATAAACTAACAACCCACTATTAGTATACATTATAGTGGAATATAGCCAAAAGCATGAGTTAATAATATCAAGTTTGTACAGCACTGAGCACTCTCCCATTCTATCATGGAAAGCCCCTAACCTGTGCTGTCCAATATAGTAGCCAATAGCAATCTGTGGCTTATTGGGCTACTGGAAATGTGACTACCCCTAACTGAGATGTGCTGTAGTATAAAGTACACACTGAGGACTTCCCTGGCGGTGCACTGCTTAAGAATCTACCTGCCAAGGCAGGGGACACGGGTTCAAGCCCTGGTCAGGGAAGATCCCACATGCCGCAGAGCAACTAAGCCCATGTGCCACAGCTACTGAGCCTGTGCTCTAGAGCCTGCGAGCCACAACTGCTGAGCCCACATGCCACAACTATTGAAGCCCATGCGCCTAGAGCCTGTGCTCCGCAACAACAGAAGCCACTGCAATGAGAAGCCCGCGCACCACAACGAAGAGTAGCCCCTGTTCACCACAACTATAGAAAGCTGGCACTCATCAACAAAGGCCCAACGCAGCCAAAAATTAATTAATTAATTAATTAAAAAAATGAAGTACACACTGGAGTTTTGAAGACTTAGTATAAATAAATAATGTTAACTATCTCAATACTTTTTATATTGATTGCATGTTGAAAGAGTAATATTTTGGATATATTGATTTTCATAAAATACATTATTAACGTTGTTTCTTTTTACTTTTTTTAGTGTGACTACTAAAAATTTTAAATTACATACATGACTCATATTTGTGACTACTTTTTATTTCTATAGTACAACACTGGCCCAACTGTAATAAACAGAGTTCTACTGTAACCTAAACTGTTTATCTCTCCTCCTCTTACAAAAAACTAAATTCTCCTTATGGTGATCATGATCATGATCATGGTAACACCTTAAATTTTACCACGTACTTTCAAATACAACATTGTATAAAAGAAGCTAGATATAAAATTATACATACTGTATGGTTCTATTTAAATAAAACTCAAAAACAGGGAAAATTAATTTATGTTCTTAAAAGTCAAGACAGCTATCTTTGGGAAGGAAGAAAAGGTAGTAACTGGGAGGGAAGACTTAAGGGGCACTTAAAATGTTTTATTTATTTTTTCTTTTTTAAGTTAACCATTTTATTTATTTATTTATTTTTGCTGTGTTGGGTCTTTGTTGCTGCATGTGGGCTTTCTCTAGTTGTGGTGAGCAGGGGCTACTCTTCATTGCTGTGCGTGGGCTTCTCACTGTGGTGGCTTCTCTTGCGGAGCACGGGCTCTAGGCATGCAGGCTTCAGTAGTTGTGGCACATGGGCTCAGTAGTTGTAGCACACGGGCTCAGTAGTTGAGGCTCACGGGATTTAGAACACAGGCTCCATAGTTGTGGCACACAGGCTTAGCTGCTCTGTGGCATATTGGATCTTCCTGGGCCAGGGATCGAACCTATGTCCCCTGCATTGGCAGGCAGATTCTTAACCACTGCACCACCAGGGAAGTCCCAAAGTGTTTTATTTCTTGACCTGGGCAGTGATCACATAGATATGTTTACTTTGTGACAACTGAATTATATACTTAGAATTTGTACACTTTTCTGTATATCTATAGTATTTCTATTAAAAAAATTCAAAAAATAAAATTCTGTGGTCACACTAAAATTTCATTTTATATTACTAGTTAAATTAAGACATCATCTGAAATTTAGGAATCTTTTTTTTTAATTGAGATTTGCTTTTTAAAGAGGATTTTATCCTTAACAATACTTCCACAGTTTTTAAATTCACAGAATTACAGAGTTTTGCAGATGGAAGAAAAATAAACTAGTTTGGCTCTAAGAGAGTTTAGGTGACATGGCCGTGATTAAATTGATAGCAGTGATAGGACTAAAATTTAGAACTTCCATATTACATGGAAAGACTTTAAAAGTTTTTAAGTAGAGTTAGACTCCATTAGAGAGACTTGGAGTCCCTCTATAATCTTGATGGTTTATAATGCTAAAAGGACAAAAACTACAAGTCGGTCATTCATTCTTCCATTTCTGTTGTAATAAAATAATGAATAAATCATAAAACAAGGAAGGAACATCATACTCCCCCTTCTGGTGAGGAACTTTATAAGAATTAGCAATCCATGTCCTTTGAACATTTTTTTAAACTTACTCTTTATGAAAACATACAGAACATTTGTGTTCAACCAAATACTGTATTAAAAACAGAGTCGTGCCAATGCACATTGCCTCTTTCTCTTTCACTTTTGTAACTTGTGCATAAACCAGTTTAGTAGCAACAAAATCAAAGTGCTGATTCCTGCTGGAAATGCAGCTACATTTGAGCTACGAGCAATTCACAAGATTCAAGGCTATAACCACTTATTCTCTTTGTTTCCTTCAGACTTTGAAGCAATTCTTCCTCTTTGTTCTTTCTTTTCTTTCTTTCTTTCTTTCTTTCTTTCTCTTTCTTTCTATCTTAAGAAGAAGCCATTCTTCTGGCTCAGAAATTTAAAATAAGCTATGGTAACATCCTTTATGTCTGGTCTTTTCCTGTTTAATCTCTCTCTTTTTTTTTTTAACTATTTTGTTTTGGGGGAGGGGAAGGAAGGAGAGTTCTAAGAAAAGCTTTCATAACAGGTTCAAAAGTATAAAAGCCATTTCAAGCTCCAGACATTTGTAGCCTTTATTTCTATAGTCCTTGAAAGGGCTTTTTAAATGTTAACAGCTAGGATAGGACTGCTTTACCATACTGATTTTCCAGGCTTCATTTCCTTTGTAGTCTTGGGTTCTTCCCCACCCTTAAAATCCCCCAATAACCTCCATGCCAGCTTCTTTTCTAAAATAAAACAAAAACAATTAAAAAAAAAAAAAGATTTCATTCATCATGGTAATGTGTATAGGCAGACTTCTGAGATCCCATACAGAGTGACCATCTCTCGAATACAGAGTATTAAAATATTTTTGCTTTAATTTCTTTTGTATTTGGTGCTTTCATGTGCCTACTTAACATCCTTTCATTTTTAACATAATGACATGTCACCTGCAAAGTTATTACAACTAAAATTGCTGACAAGAAGCTTTGTTAGCTCCCTCTCCTTAGAAATGCTGAAATACAATCTTCAAAAACTAAGTGTCAAAAAGGTGCTCATTTACATCCTCTTAAGTTTAAAAAAAAAGGCTTAAATCATTTAAATCAATAAATGATACAATCTTATCCTATTTTAGAAAAAAATTAAATAAACACAAAATATAAATCTGAAACACTGAATTCCAAGGTCATAACAGTTATTATTTCTGGGTGGTGAGCTCATAAATGTTTTTAATTTTCTTCTTGCTTATGAATATATTTTAATTTATCTTAAGTGTACATGCATTGTTTGTAATAAGGGAAAATGCTGCTCATAGTTTAAAAAATAAGAGCTGTTTTAATACTTCCAGCACATCATATGAGTACTTCTTAAAAATTCATATACATATATGCTTACATTTAGCTATTTGCATGTGTATTTTATTAGTTAAAAATTCTAAAGTATAATTTCCAAAATGGTAAACTCATGACTCTCATATAAATACAAACAACAAGGACAGCAATCATGAGTTAAAATGTTAAGTGCCAGGGATTTTATTTAACATATTAACGAGGAAACCAGTAAGAAGTGAAAATCAATTCATAATAGAATCTGACTTACAGAGATTTATATTCTCTACTGGAAAAAAATGCTTTTGCATTGCCAAGAATAGGAATCAATTACATTGCTATGGGCAGAAAACATTTGCATTGTTTTCAGTTTTCTACAATTTAACTTTTATCCCTGCAGAGCTGTAAAACAGCCTAGTCAATCAAACATGACAAAAAGTACACACTCATATAGAATCAGATAAACCCTCTAGGGCCCCTAAACATTCAGCATTCCCTTGAAAAGAAACCCAGTGATTTTGTTTTGCCCATTTCCAAGTCTTTGACAAATTTTTCTGATACATTTTACTAATTAGTAAACTGAATTAAAACTATCACAATTAAAATTTTAATTTATTTAATTCTCTTTCTTATGCATCCCCTAGAAATGTTTAGTAAAAGTGTGCTGAATTTAATTTGTATATGGTCAAGGTATATCACAAAATATTTGAGGTAGTACAAGCTTTAGAAACTTCACCCCAGTCTAAATGATAAAACATTAATAAATTATAAAATATCATGAAATACTGATATACAAAATAGGAAAAACTGTATAAAGAAATGATGAGTAATTCAATATAAAATCATAGTCCCAAACACAAATGTCCATAGAGAAACATGCTGTCAAATAAAGCATGATCAACTCTGTTTTTCCATCAGTAACTTTTCTAAAGTTGAGAAAATTTTAAGGGAGAAAATCTTAAAACTGAGAAAATTCCATCTGCTGAACTAAATTCCCCTTCTCAACTAAAGAATGATTTTCATCATCTGAGTATTACAATGGAACAACTAAATCCAAATCACAGAAGCATAGTTTGACTAAGAAACTGAAACCCAAGTGACACTCCAAGGTCATATAACTACTTAGATATTCAACAATACTTGCTGTTATAAAAATTATAACTCATAGTAGTCCTACCTTACATTAAACATAAAATATCATAAAAACATAAACACAAAAATATTTTAATAATTACTGGACACGGTAATGAATGAAGTGATTAACTACTAGACACAAGCACATTGAAGGAATCCTTGATTTTTTAGATTATTGTCTTGAAAGAGATCAATTATTTCTTGGAATTGAGCATCACAAATTTGTAGGAAATTGATTATTTGCAAGTTTTCATTCAATAAATATCCTGTATGCCATGTGTGAACTAACTCTACATGTAGCAGCATAACATAGTGATTAAGAACATAAACATTACAGCCAGAGCAAGCCATCAGCTCTACTGTTTTTAGATACGTGATCTTGAGCACATTATTAACCTTTATATGCCTCCATTTCCTTGGCAAGTTACTTAATCTGTATATGCCTCAATTTGCTCACCTGTAAAATGAGATATTAACATATATAAAACACTTAAGGAAGAAACTGGGCACAAAGGAAGCATTACCAACATGTTTGTCAAATCACTGGTTCGAAACATGTGGTCCTCAGACCAGCAGCAGTATCCAGAAACTTGTTACAAAATCTTCTGACACATCACAGTCCTAACTGATTAAGAAACTCAGGTAGGGCCCAACAATATAAGCTTTCACAAAAAATCTTCCAGGTGATTCCAATGCGCACTGAAGTTTCAGAGCCATTGGTGTAAATTAATAAGATTTTATCTCTTTCTCTCTGAACTTTAATACATGTCATTAGTATACATAGCCATTGGTATACTTGGTGTTTTGCACACCTCATTTTTTACCACAAAACATCTCAAAGATTTGGTTTCAAAACTGAAGGTAACTTCACATCTACTAGGATAGCTATAATTTAAAAAACCAGATAATAACAAGTATTGCCCAGGCTGTGGAGAAACTGGACCCTTCAAACATTGCTGGTGAGAATGTAAAATGGCGCAGTCACTTTGGAAAACAATCTGACAGTTCTTCAAAAAGATAACCACTGAGTAACCTCATGACAGCAATTCCACTCCTAGACATACACCTATGAGAACTGAAAACATTTTCACACAAAAACTTGTACATAAATGTTCATAACAGCATTATTCATAATAGCCAAATAGTGGAAACAACCCAAATGCACATGAAGTGATGAATAAACAAAATGTGGTATATGACACAATGGAATCCTATTCAGCTATAAAAAGGAATAAAGTACTGATACATGCCACAATATGAATGAACCCTGAAAACGTTATGCTAAGTCAAACTTAATCCCAAGAGACCACATATTGTATGATTCCATTTATATGAAATGGCTAGAATAGGTAAATATATAGATTCAGAAAGTAGATTAGTGGCTGCCTAGGGCTTGGGGAAGTGGAAGGAAAAATTGCTGATGGATACATGGTTTCTTTAGAAGATGATAAAATTGATTTTGGTGATAATTGCACAACTCTGTGACTATATTACAAAAATATTTAATTGTGTACTTTAAATAGGTGAATTATGTGGTATGTGAATTATATCTCAATAAACCTGTTATTTAAAAGCCTAAAACTATGCCAAACTATTATTGATGGAAAATATTTGTAAAATAAAAACTGATGCAATAACAAAAATCTGTACCTAAATCCTAAATTATATTATCCTGAAAGTGAGGGAGGGAAGAAAAGGGCAAAAGGAAAAGTGTTAAATTCTTCACACATTTGACAGGGGAGTCAGGAGACACTGAGATATTGTTTTAATCTTGATTAGAGTAAAAACTAAAGTATAACCATTAATAATATTGAAAACAAAATGTATACCCTCCAAATTAATAGAAAAAAGAAACTAAAAGGATTTACATTTAGATGTTAACTAGTTACCTCACAACTATGGCACTATGAGTGATTTTTATTTCCTCTTCATTTTCCACATTTTCTACAAAGGGTTGTTTTATCTTCATGTAAGTCTGCTTACCTTTGTGACTCTGACTTTTTTAAAATCTAATTTTATTTACTTATGTATTCACTTATGGTTAATTTTTAATATGCTAATAGATTCAGGTAATTTAAAATTCAAAAGATACAAAAAGGATGGTGAAAAGTCTTGCTGCTACCAGTGCACTCAGCCCCCAGCCACCACCACAAGCATGGAGTCTACAAATATTAGCAGTTACTTCTTGGGTATCTTTGTTGACATATTTGATGCATATATATTAATTCTTTTCTGTCTTTTTAATACAAATGCAGTATAACGTATACACTGTTTTTTATCTTCCTTTTTTCATTCAACAATGTATCTTAGAGATTGTCCCATATCAGTACCTGCAGAGCTTCCTCTTTCTTTTTAATGGCTACATGGTAGTTCACTGTACGGATTACCATACTTTATTGAGCCTCATATTCACATACTACTTTTATAATTGGCAAGAACAGCAAAGTGATTTTGGAGAAAAAACTATCTATCTTTTAATCTCAGGCTCTTCTTCCTCATTCTACTTTTTTTTTTTTTTCTTTTCCAAGTAACTGTCTTCTACATGTTCACTGGGTGAATGCAATCACTCTACTAGTTTGCCCATCATATCTAGATGGGTGATTTCCACATTTATGGCTCTCTCCTAACTTTGAAGCCCATATTTCTAACCGTCTACTAGACAACTTCACTTGGTATTCCACTAATACTTGAAATTTAACATGTCTAAAATTAAAAACTTCTTACCACATAAACCTACTCCTCTCTCACCACATTCATTCATATATTAATACAATAAAATTTTATTGAATCATGGTTTATACACAAGACATGATGCTAATCTTAGATCCTATCCAAAAGAATCTTACAGCCTAGAATAGCCAGCAAGACATATATCTTTGTTCATACCTCTGTGATAGCACATATATTTTTGTTGTAAATAATGATGACAGACTAACCAAGATAAATAAAAGGTAGTAGTAGAAAATAATATTGGAATGGATGTTGAGGTCAGAATATAGACCCTTAATTATAGGCTTAATTATATCAACTTAAATCTGTATAAAATGGAAAGCTCCAGAAGTTTTTGAGCAGGAGAGTGTCTACATTCCATTTTCAGATGATGGATCCCGCCATGATGTGTAAAATGGATTTAACTGGGGAACTATTCAAGGATGGGAGAAGGATATAATAAATCTATTAAACAGATGATTTGAACCTGAACAGACAGAGTGGAAGACTGAAACTCAAGGCTTTGATCAGGCTGGCTTTGATCAGGCTACAGAGTTTTGTCTCGGAATATGATA